GGATAGTCTGGTCCAGACTCGATTATATTCAGACCGCCGCCATATAGCTGGAATATTGCTGAGTGTGGCGTAATACTAAACTGACTCACTCACTCACTCATAAGTCTGCATTGGTACAGGACGAAAACAGAGACAGTTAAACAGAAAAGTCTGCATTGGTACAAAGAGACAGGCCGACAGACAGACAGAGGTACAGACAGACAGACAGGTACACAGGTGGGTAGCCACGGACAGACTGACACCGGGTTGAATCCCCACAGACAGAACAGTGCGGGTATGCAGACAGACTGACACAAACAGACAGATAGACAGGCAGACAAGCACACACAGACAGGTACACAGACAGGCAGACAGACTAACAGAGACAGACGGGCATACAGACTTAACTGCACATATGTTTATAAGTGCGACAATCGTGAATGCATGGGTAAATTGTGTTTCACCTCTAGGATCTGTCAGGGTTAGGAAACTGCACCACATGAATCCATCTTGTAGCTGATGAACAGTTTGTCCTTCTGCAAGCCGGCTGTTCTGGATTGTGGTTATAAATATTAGAGTAATGTTGAGCATATAGATTGCAAATTATCCGGTTTCAGAAAAGGGACATGTTTTGTAGACTCCTAAATGACAGTGTTCGAAAGTGTCAAAAATCTATTTATGCCCCAGAAGGTTTTGACACTGCGGTGTTTCGTAATTCTGAGCAGAAAAGAGAACAAAGTTGGTTTCAGTTCGAACTCGTTTCTAAAAGCACTGAAAAAGTGAAGTCAATGCATTAGGAATTAATAAGATCATGGTATTTCAAATTCTTGAAATTAGATCATGAAATTTGGTGCTAAAAAGACTTTTGTGATGAAACTACAGGTTGAAAGACAGCAAAAATTCCTTCAGCATCTCAAAACATACAAGTCATTCAGTGGCTGCCTGGCTGATTCAAGATGACAGGCAGTTGAGAAGCCCTAAAACCTGGAAGGAATTTCCAACCAATCTTTGAACTTCTTTGGTTTGAGAGGAAACGTGAACCTGAATTGATTTAAACTCTATTCTTTAGACGCCTCAGTTTTGTCCATTTATGAAACTTTAAGCTGGAACAGATATTAGAGAAGAATACTGGTGTTACCAAAAGGGATAGGCACTTAATGTTTGTTGTGTGGAAGTCTTGACTGTTTCGAGTGGCCGATCTCAGAGCCAAAAGGTCATGAAGGTCACATTTCAGTCAATTCACAAACATTTAACGTTAAACTAATTAAAGTTTCAATTACTTCAAGAGAACCTCTTCGGATTTTGTGGTTAGATAGGCTGATAGTTTTGCCCACTTACAAACATTTGAACTTGAATTAATTTAATGGTTTTAAGCTTCCGACTTTGAAGTTAAAGGTAAGCAAGTTCAGATATTTGTGTGTTTATAAACGTTGAAACTTGAATGAGTTGAAACAACCCTCGAAGGATTAAATGCTTCAGCAAGTTAATGTTAGTGTTCATTGTAAACACTGGATATTGGGCTACACTGAAGCGAAAGTTAATCAGCAAGTGCTTGCATGATTTCACGACTGACCAGCTCAGCTGTAAGCCCAAACTGTGTACCAGTGTGTGTATAGGGAGAAAGGGGGGGGTGGGGGGCAGGGTTTTACACAGACTTTTAAGAATGGGAGTCATGGTGACTCACAATATTTATTTTCAATATTTGGGAGTCATGAAAATTTTAATATTTCTTTGTGTTAATCATTCTCAGTATGTAACTATGTATGTCACACCACCAAATGACACTACAGCATTGTTCAATGCAAACAGCCAGGATTACTGTCTCCTCTGAGTTCTCTGGAACAATCTGACAGCTCTGTAAAAGTCAATCTATCATGGAACAATATCATTTTTGCTTATCAAATAGATTTTATTGAACTGAATTGTGAGGGCCACCCATAAAACTTGCGTCAAGCTTGTCTCGTATGATAATATTTTAAGAGTCGTTTACAAAATTGTTGCGTCAAATACGCAGGAATCACGCGTCATGTAAGGCCCTAGGGGTGTGGGTGTGGGGTTGGTGTATGGGTGAGAGGGGTGTATTTTGGGGCATGGGGGATATTTGGGATTGGTGGTTAGATAGAATGGGGAACACGGTTGGTCAGTCTAATTAATAAGTTTAAAAATTCCAGTATGTTTTGGGGAGGGGTGTATTTTGGGGCATGGAGGTTATTTGGGATTGGTAATTAGATAGAATAAAGAACATGGTTGGTAGGTCAATTAAATTTTTAAAATCCAGCTTTGCATATATGTTTTGGGGAGGGGTGTATGTTGGGCTAGTCAGATATTTGGGAATGGTGATTAGATTGAATTAGGAACATGTTTGGTAGGTCAAATCATTAAATTTTAAAAATCCAGTTTAATATGTATGTTTTGGTTAGGGGTATATGTTGGGCTGGTCAGATATTTGGGATTGGTGATAAGATTGAATTAAGATCATGGTTTGTAGGTTAAATCATTAAATTATTAAATTAATAAAAGCCCAGTTTAACATGTATGTTTATTTTTTATTTTCTCTGATGATACATCATAATTTGTTTTGTTTTTTTGTAGCTCTGAGTATTCATTAGTATAGGTATAGTTTTTGATGCTTCATTTTGATAGTGGGCGGTGGAGTAGCCTAGTGGTTAAAGCGTTCGCTCGTCATGTCGAAGACCCGGGTTCGATTCCCCACGTGTGTACAATGTGTTAAACCCATTTCTGGTGTCCCCGCTGTGATATTGCTGGAATATTGCTAAAAGCGGCTTAAAACTAAACTCACTCATTTTGATAGTGACTGTGTTATCAGTTGGTTCTATGAATTGTTTACTTATCCAATCATTGGAATTAAAAACACTGCCTTTCATTTTAGTTTCTTTTCACTTGTCACATTTTGGAGTTGACAGATTCGTAATCTGTTGTTAAGAAAGTTTCGCCTGTGATAGCTGGGTATGATAGCACGCCAGTAAGGTTTGTTGTTAGAATCTATGTGTGTGTACAAGGCAGGTGGTAACTATCGGGATCCAATTATCTCCCCTGGGTGGTCCCTCTCACCCCGATGAAGGTGGCTTTGCCGGTATTTAAAAGTACGAGTCGTGAATCTCGAAGCAATGATGTCTGAGAAAAGTTTGAGTGCTTTGATACAAGCATGTGTGTTGTTGCAGGAAAGGGCTGAAATATAATCACTTTGTTTGCTTGTAAAATATCACCGCATGTTCACAGTTGAGATGGGGTGTTGAGTTTCAGAGAGGTTCTTTGGCAGTGGTTAAGCTAGGGACACTGTTGTGTAAATGTAACTGGGTTTGAGAGGGTTTCTTGTTCAAGAGTGAGTGAGTGAATTTAGTTTTACGCTGCTTTTAGCAATATTCCTGCAATATCATGGCGGGGGACACCAGAAATGGAATTCACACATCGTACCCATGTGGGGACTTGAACGTAGGTCTTTGCCGCGACAAGCGAACACTTTTAACCACTATGCTACCCTAACATCCCTCTTGTTCAGTTGGTTGAACACTATAGAGGCTGAAATCTGCAGATTGAACTCTACAGAGGTTGAACTATACAAAGGTTGAACAATTCAGAGGTTGAACTCTACAGATGTTGAACTACAGAGAGGTTGAACACTACAGAGGTTGAACTATACAGAGGTTGCACAATACAGAGGTTGAACGCTACCAAGGTTAAACTATACAGAGGTTGAACTATAGAGAGGTTGAACACTATAGAGGTTGAACGCTACCAAGGTTAAACTATACAGAGGTTGAACGCTACAGGCATTTAAGAATATAGGGATGGAACACAATAGGGATCAAACATCACAGGGGTTGGAACTGTAGGGTGAAATGATTTAGGAACTTTTCGTTTTATTGGGACTCGATTCAATTAACAGAGTAAAGCATTGTTATGAGAAAATATAATTGTTCATCGAAAATAAAAATGATGATGATGATGAAAATCAAATAATATGATAGTGATTATTGTTTACGATGGTTACATTACTCAGTGCTGTAGCTACGGTTACTGCTGTCATTATTCATGTTTTTCCTCGTCAGTTTCTCAATAAAAGATGCTCTTTCATAAGCAAAACGCTTCTCTTTGAAATGCAAGCTGTTGTCAGGAGTAGACAAGATTTTCTCGGTAGACATGTCGACTGCACATTGCGTTGGCTACATTTGCGCTATCTATCTTCCCCGAGGCATTGGAAACATCCTAACACTGCTATTACATACACTTCGTATATCCTGCACACTGGAATCCAAGTTATTCCACCCACCCTAGAAACAATAATGGAATAAACCTTTCTTTGATGTTGGTTTAGTCGATGACAAAATTAGGGGTGGAAGGATGGGATGAGCAGACGTGATGTGTGCAATGTCTGCTGCTGGTTTAAATTTCTCACATACACTGGAATTGCAGTGAATATTTGTTGTGAGATCAACGTTCTCCAGTTGCGAGTTAGTTTACAGTTTCAGTCAGAGAGACTGTATATCATAATGTGTTATGTCAACATGGCTGCTTCTGTTTAAGTTCCACTGAGTGTCTGGCCAGTCATCAGTGATTATGTAAAATTCATGGACATCAAAGTCTGGCAGAATCAGATAATATTGAAAATATACCGCTTAATTTAAGATTGGTCCTTGTGCTGATATTTGAATTATTCTCCAGCAAATGCACTTTCAGACTTTGATCTTTCTGTTTGATCGTTTAGCTTGGAGGAAATCCATGGGAATGAAAATATTTCAGGGAAATATTTAAATTGGATATTTAAAGAGGAAGACTGTATGTACAGATGGAGAAGTTGGTGAGGGTGATGGGTGTGTGTGTGTGTGATGATGATGATGATGATGTGGTGATGATGATGATGATGATGATGATGATGATGATGATGAAGGTGGTGTTGGTAGTGATGTTTAATTCAAAGACACATTCAATCACTCACTCACTATACTTATTTATTTACTCACTTACTTTCTATTCTCATTCACTCACTCACTCTGTTTCAGGAGCCACAGTCCCTCACTTCAGTCAGTTTTACTTTACCGTGGAGCCACATGACCTGATCGTGAAGAAGGGCTCCAAGTCCCTCCTCAACTGCTCCGCCTACCACGGGGAGTCCACCCCAAACATACAGTGGATGAAAGATAGCAACTACTTAAATTTTGAAAATTCAGATAGGTAAGGAAATCAGTTATTCTGGCTACAGGTGTGTTGGTTTTTTCTGAAATAATGTATTGGGAGTAAAGGGCCGTGTCGTCTTAGACGTTTCATCTCTCAGTGCAGAATTGCATCAGTTATAAGTGGCAGGAACCTAATTTAAAATAATCTTTTACCTCTGTTTCATCATTGTCATAAATTGAGTATTTAGGGCTGTTTTGCAAAAATACTTTCCATTTTACAAGAGCTTGTTTATGACAGCTTCTAAAGGTACCATTTAACACTGAACTGTTAGTCTTCTGGTCAAATGCTGAAGTTGTGATTCTAATACGCTTTGTTCTGTTTTCAGGAGTTTATTAGCAAATGGATCTTTATATTTTGACCAAATCCAGCATTCTAAAACTTCCCATCCAACTGACAAGGGCACGTATCAGTGTACCGCCACCGTCGACGGGTTTGGAACCATTGTCAGTCGAAAAGCTGATCTTGATATTGCATGTAAGTCTTTTGAAATATTTTAGATTTGATTTGTTTTGTTGTAACACTGCACTCAGCAATATTCCAGCTATATGGCGGCGGCGGTCTGTAAATAATCGAGTCTGAACCAGACAATCCAGTGATCAACACCACGAGCATCAATCTACGCAATTGGGATATGATGACATTTGTCAGCCAATCAGCAAGCCTGACCTTCTTACGACAAGCATGGGTTGCTGAAGACCAATTCTAGCCTTCAAATATTTGGGGAGTAAAGAAAGAATGTTGTTAACTTACAGGAGTGGGGTGTCAGCCTAGAGGTTAAAACGTTCGCTCGTCTTGCCAAAAACCAGGGTTTGATTCCCCACATGGGTACAATGTGTGAAGCCCATTTCTGGTGTCCCCCACTGTGATATTGCTGGAATATTGCTAAAAGTGATGTCAAACTAAGCTCACTCACTCACTCAGCTGGGTTTAAAGTGTGTGTAGGTGGCGACTGGACCAGTCAATCCAGTGACTGACATCATGAGCATCGATCCACACAATTGGTATACGGTGATGTGCATCAGGTGATATTGCTGGAATATTGCTAAAAGTGGCGTAAAACTAAACTCACTCACTCACTGATCTCCAGCAACTTGAGCTAGTCATTAGTGATGGATTGTGCTTTGTAACTACCTGGCAATGTGGACATTTGTCGTAACGTGGACTCCCCTGATTATCTGCTCCATTGTCTTCTGTCGTTACTGAATTATTGCTGAGAGAGTATTTTAGCGATTGCTGAGCTAGCATTCAGCAAAATATAAACTCTTTCCACTTTTTAATGATTTTGTTTATTTTTCAGACTTGTCGAAACATTTTATAAAAGAGCCCCAGGACTTGGTCGTGTATCTTGGCGATACAGCCATGTTTTCTTGTGAGATAGTAGGGGTGCCACACCCTAAAGTGAGGTGGATAAAAGACGGGAGGGAACTCGCAAAGGCGGACAATATATACCAGTATGACGATGGTATTTTAGAAATATATCCCGTGAGATTCGCTGACTTTGGGGCATATAGCTGTGAGGCTAAAAATATGGAGCGTTCTCGAACGAGTCGAGTAGCATCATTACGTCAGAACCCAAACACAAGTGAGTATTTTGGCCACACACAGCTTCAAGTAGATTTATTTTGAGACTCAATAATGATTTGTTTGCCCACTGAGACGTGTTATTGTATGGATTGAGGTTGTCGTGATGTCAAGCTTTAAATGTTATTTCACAAGATATGTGAACATTTATTTTGAAATGATTGCAACAGATAGATCGAACACTATTATCTTAAAGTTTAATATATGTAATTTGGTTTTGGTTCTCTGATTTCTGATGATGAAAGGTCATTTGAAGAAAGATAATAAAAAGAATCTGTTTCAAATTCAGTTTGATCGATAAACAAATCAGATTTTCTTTTTAGATATAAAAGTAGGCATGACTTCTGAATTTTTCACAAAACCTAAAGGTCATTCACAGAATAATATAAAAAGGAGTCAGTTTATATTGACGTTTAAATTTAAATGAATGAAATTGTCTGTTCTAGATATAGAAGAAGGCGTGGCTCCTAAATTTGTGATGAAACCTAAAGATCATCGAGAAGGACTGGCTGAAGGATGGAGTCACCATTGCTTTAGCGTAGGTTGTCCTACACTGGCATTAAAATAGGAGCCTTACCAATGGGAGGGCCGCCAAGGAGGAGAAGCATTAAAATAGGTACCATATGTGGATAAAAAGTGGCTGAAGGATGGAGTCACCATTGCTTTAAGTTTTGTTACCAGTGTCATTACCATATATGGCATTAAAAAATGCCGTTATATATGGCATTAAAATCTTTACCATTTATGGCATTCAAATATGGGTGTTGTTGCCATATATAGCATTAAAGATAGGTGTTGTTACCATATATGGCATTAAAATAGGTTTCATTACCATATATAGCATTAAAATTAGCATTAGGTGGTGTTCCTTTATGTGTCATTGGAGAAGGTGTTGTTACCAATTGCACAGCATGATGTCAATCACTAGATTGTCTGGTCCAGAATTGATTATTTACAGACACCTATCTTCCAAGAAATAGTAACCAGAGTCTTCTGTGTGTAAATACAACTGACCATCTTCAGTGGCAGATTGATTAGGGATGTCATTTGACATGGCATCATGGTAACCAATATCGCGAGGAGATATCCTTGATCCCTCAGAAACGATATCTCCTGTGGGTGATAAATTATGTTTTTAAAAAAACCTCCTTCGTAGCCAGTTTTATTTTTAAAAAACAGCAACAGTTAAATCCTTGTCACTTCTAAGGCCAGCTGCCCTGCCAGACAGAGGGGGCCTATTCGGGAAAACGCCATGAACATTAATCAGAGTCATTTTATGTTTTTCACTGTGTACAAAAATCTCCCTTTTGAAAAGAATTGCCCCAAACAGAACTGCCTGAAAGAGTAATATCTTTTGTTTTTAGTTTCTACTTTTAGGAAAATGTAAATTCAGTTGAATTAATCTTCTGTATGTTGTGAAAGCTCACAGATGACATTTATGACAGTAACCTTATAGGTAAAGGGAGATAACTGGTTGTCTTTCATTTTATGGTAGCTTCGTTCATATGCTTAACATGTTGTTTTGCAATCTAAGGAAGCTAGTCTGGACAATGGCGTCCCCCTCGTTTGTGGGAATCCCAGGTACCCCCAATATGGTATTAGAGTTGTCAGGACTATACCCAAGTTCCTGGGTCTCACTTAAGTGTACATGTCTAAGGCAGACATTACCATGGGATTTCGTCATAGATCAAGCAGCATGCTGGGAAATACCAGGAACTCTAACAGTCAACAGAGGAGAAACATCAAGATATGATGATGATGATGATGATGATGATGATGATGATGATGATGGTTGTGGATAATGATAATGGTTATTGTGGATGATGATGATGATGACGATGACGACGACGGTTGTGGATAATGATAATGGTTATTGTAGATGACAATGATGATGATGATGATGATGTTACAGAAACACAAAGAGTGCGAGGATAAAGAGGTATGGTTGGATGATAATGGATGTGATGATGATGATGATGATGAGTCTGATGATGATGATGATGATGGATTTTGATGATGTTTGTGGATGATGATAATGGATTATTGTGGATGATGATGAAGGATGATGATATTGTGGATAATGATGAGAGTGATGATGATGATGATGATAATGATTGATGGATGATGATGATGATGATAATGGTTATTGTGGATGACGATGATGATGATGATGATGGTTATTGTGTGATGATGATGGCTGTGAACCAGGAGGATAAAGTATTGGTGGCAGCAGACACCATGCTAGCAGTATTAGGTATGACAAGCTTGTGAACCAAGTTACACTGATGGAAAATACGCTAGCACCATTAGGTATGACAAGCTTCCAAGTTACACTGGGAAAATCACGTAACCATTGACGGAAATATGATAATGACTGTGTGAAATATGATAATGGCCAGGTGAAATTTGATAATGGCCATGTGAAATATGATAATGACCGTGTGAAATATGATAATGGCCATGTGAAATATGATAATGGCCATGTGAAATATGATAATGACCGTGTGAAATATGATAATGGCCATGTGAAATATGATAATGACCGTGTGAAATTTGATAATGGCCATGTGAAATATGATAATGACCGTGTGAAATATGATAATGGCCATGTGAAATATGATAATGACCGTGTGAAATATGATAATGACCGTGTGAAATATGATAATGGCCGTGTGAAATATGATAATGACCGTGTGAAATATGATAATGACCGTGTGAAATAAGCCACTGTTTACACTGAGCAATGGTGTCAAAGATTATATATTTAAGTTGTGGTTATTTTATTATTATCTTAAAATGCAAGTAATGCTGTTGTAATAGAGATTAAACTGTATTTTGATGCAAAATATGTCTGAAATCAAATTAAAGTGAATGTTTTTTGCTTGACTGAAAATATTCGAATAGAAAAGAGTAGTGATGTCAACCGACATAATTTTTCCATTTCAGTCCCTCCAAGATTTGTGAAGAGACCGGCCAACGTGTTTGCTCACACCAATTCGGACGTCAAATTTGAATGCAATATTTACGGAGTGCCTAATCCCACAATCACATGGCTGAAAAATGGCGATGTTCTCTTCCCAAGCGACTATTTCCAAATAGTTGATGGCAAAGACTTAAAAATCCTCGGACTTGTAAATTCAGACGATGGTATTTATCAGTGTTTTGGCGAAAATGACCTCGGCAACGTTCAGGCAAGCGCACAGCTTGTCATTCTGCAACCAGGTATGTGTTGATATAAAAATATGTTTTAATATTCTATAAACGCCAATCATTTCAAATCATTACATCACGAAAATCGGTAACATTTGATCTGAGGCGTGTGCACTCTCAACTTTTCCTTGTTACCATGGAAGCACTAATTAACAATACTATATATAAACCTGAGTGTGTGATATCATTCAGCTGATCACTATATCACGTGAAACTAAAATAACAACTCATATATCCTATCAGAATCGTGCATATATACTATATTGTGTTTCAAGATATTAATCACTGCACAGATACGTTATTTTTTTTAGATCTTAAATGATATTTTAAAAACAAACAAATAAGTATTTTCACAAGAGAGGATTGTTAATGTTTGGTCCATTTAAGTCCATTTCTGACCTTTCAAAGGATTTTTTATCGAATAATTGTTCTCTTAATAGATTGTTAATTTTCAGATTTCATTATTAATATGTTAAATTGCAAATTGTCTCCTGGAGAGGATGTGAGTGGTGGGATTTGCTACATTTCTGTGGAGGTTTTTTGGCCGATTTTATTTTGGTTTATTCACATAGTGAAATTACTGTGCAGTTTGTGTGGAAGTTGTCTCCCCTTACTTTGTTTTAACCCTCATGTTGTGTTTCAATTCAGTGACTTAAAAAATGATAAAATATTTCAGTGTTGTGGTTGAAAATCCTTCAAATCGACTGTCTGCACCTCGACATCTGTGTTGGGATGTAGACATAACTTTCTGCATGACCTTCACCTTGTGTTTACTTAACACTGATTGGTCAATTTCACCCCCTGCTTTCTGACTGTTGTGTGACATTCTTACGCACTTAACAATATATTAACAACATTATTTTACGGAAATTTGGAATTAACGATTTTTGTCACATTAAAATGGATATTTCATCTTGCTCGATTTTGACAGTTTCATGGAAACATTGGACAAAAATATAGCTGATTTCTATCTTCAGTATGGAACATAAAACATGATACGGTTATTTTTTCAATATTTTTTGGTTACAACTTCAAAAGCTTTGTTTTCATATGGAGAAATACACATTGCATAATTAGTGTAGTACACAAAATTATTGTACATTAAATACAATGTTTTCTGTCAACACAATGTGAAAAAAACCATTGAAAGAATATAGTGTGGCTAGTTATGATGCAGTTAATATTTGTATTGAGCACAAACATGAAAATATATACAGATATGCAGATATGAATCATTTCTCCCAATTTTAAAAAATGTGTTGCCTAGCAACACAAACATGTTGGAAATTGTGTTTGAAACCTAAACATTACTTGGAAACAAGAGATTCTCGTTTTTTAAGGCATGTGATAAATGCACATATTGCCCTCTTCTTCTCTTTGGACACCTGTTTGTGACACCTGTTTGTGACACCTGGTGGTTCATGATGCACATGTTCTTTTTCAGCTGATAAATCACGTTTGTTTATGTGCAGACAATGGCTTAAGACCCCAATGTTAAATCCGCAGCATGCTGCAAGTCAAGCAATGGATGTCGCACACTCACAAAAAAAAGATAAAATAGTTGGGTTTTTTTGTAATTTTAGTCAAAAGATTATTGATTACTGAGAGAAAAGGGGAATGAATTTGGGCATGTGTCATTAAGGTGGTCAAAATCGAACTAAGTTTGTAAATTTGAGCTCTCATTGTCAGCACAGTGATGCAAGGGAAGTAACCCTGTGAAGTTTGTTTGTGATAATCCAGTGATCAACATAAGGAGCATTCTGTGATGTTTTAAGAATCTGAAACACCTCCACAGACTTGCTCTGGTATAAGCAATTTGAAATAAGGCATTGTTAGGGTAGAATGTTAATATGAACAAATTAGAACATTTGTAAATATTTGTAATTTGATTGTTTAGCCTCCAATTTGCTGCTAAATTATTCCAATTCTGGTACTGTTCATACATCTATTATACAGACAATTTTGATGAGGGTACTTGAGAAAGATATGGGCGCTGGGGAAGCCTATTGATTAAAACGCTCGCTCCTCATGCCAGAAACCAAGGTTCAATTCCCCACATGGGTACAAAGTGTGAAGCCCATTTCTGGCATCCCCCACCGTGATATTGCTGGAATATTGTTAAAAGCTGTGTAAAACCATACAGCGTCAGCAGTAAAAAGAAGATATATGAACAGAAGTTGTGACATCCTACAGTTAAGCTCTGCATGATAGAAAAGTGAGGGCGCAATGCTTTCCTAACTGATACAACCCTGCCTGTCATAATAATAATAATAATCATAATAATGCAATGTAAAGAATTAATTCACACATTCTTGAAATCATTGTTCATTCATTATTCATTTAATTTCACTATCAGAATCAGATAAGTCTTTGATCACGTAATGCTTAAATTTTGTAAAATTCTTTTTCTAAAGATGTTCAGGAAGACAGTTTGTTAAAAAGTAGACGTACGTCTTTGATGGGTATTTTAGAAGTTGACATAGGTTATACGTATTTGACGACAAGAATGTCGCGAGTCTTAAGCCATGGTCGCTGATGTTATGTTTTACCACATTGCCTGCCGCTTTGGTTCTTTTTCAGTTTGTTTGCTTTGACACTTTTGTTTCTTTTGCCTCCCTTAGACGTCCCCCTCCCCACAACCCCTTCTCTGTACCCCCTCATTCATCCAGGAGCCCTTCACGCCGACGCCAAGAACCTCCCCACCGAGCCCATCAACCTCCGAGCCGTCCTGGTGTCCACCAGATTCGTCACATTGTCATGGCAGCCGCCAGCAGGGAGCATTCCGTCGGACATCATCGCCTACTCCGTGTTTTGGCAGGAAAAAGGGTCAGAAAGGTGAGGGAATCAGTTGGAATTTAACAAGTCTTAAGGCTTTTGATGATGATGATGATGATGATTCAGTGTGCGAAATAGCCACTGGCCCGCTAGCCCGTGTCAAGTAAAAATCCAGTCAGGGCAGTAAATCTCCATAGTCACTGTCCCCACTGGCTAGCGAATTTCATGACGTCATTTTGTAAATGTATCACTCTCTCCGACTTGTTAAGTTATAATACACTTTTAAATCATGCAAGATTATACCCTGATAAAAATGTTCATCATATTAGCAGCTTAATGATAAAACCCTGTCATGCCAATAATATCTTATTCTCATCTATTTTCGCAATCTTTTGCTAAGTTTCTACATTCAGATTTCGGGCTAGTGAATTATTCTGTGGGCTAGAAACTTTCAGGCATAGCTCGCCCGACTGGCTAGCAAAATTTGGAAACTATTTTGCACACTGTGATGATTATGATGATGGTAATTGATTCACAGATTCTGCAACTGTTGGGGTCAACCACAGTTTTCAGTCAGAATTTACCATGTATTAGGGAATAGGGGTGGGTATTGCAAGGAATTTTCATATTGCGATAAATTGTGATGCGAAAGCATGTATTGCGATATGTATTTCAATATATTGCAACAAGTTTCTTTAACAAAAAATATGTATAATCGAGTTAACGCTTGATTTATAAAGCAAAAATGCAACAAAATCACAATGCTTGATTAGGCGTTAATAAAAACTTTTAATCATGACAAAATAAAATTGTAAATAATGTTTGGCCCAAATGAAACAAGGAAAGGAACAATTTAAAAAACGGAAATATCCGAAGATTTCCGAGTGTTACGAAGTTTTCCGAATGCATGTCATAATACCGGTTTTCGATCAGCGTATCGCAATACGTATCGTTTTCATGTCTGAACTGGTAAGTACCGGTAAACCGATTATATTGCGCAGCCCTATTATGTAAGAGTTGGCTTTGGGATGAGGAGGAGGAGGACGATCATTGTGTTCTGGAACTTGGCTGGAGACATCAGAACCACAGTTTACAGTCAGAATTCAACAAGTCTTAGGGATAGTTGGTTTTGTTATGATGGTGTTGATGATGATGATGATGATGATGATGATGATGATGATGATGATGATGATGATGATGATGATGATGGTGTTGATGATGATGATGGTGATGATGATGATGATGATGATGATGATGGTGTTGATGATGATGATGATGGTGTTGATGATGATGATGATGGTGTTGATGATGATGATGGTGTTGATGATGATGATGATGATGATGATGTTGATGATGATGATGATGATGATGATGATGGTGTTGATGATGATGATGGTGTTGATGATGATGATGATGATGTTATTATTATTATTATTATTATTTTCATAGAGAGCGTGTGACGAACACGACAACTACAGAGGCCAACATCCAGCACCTGAAGCCACACACGGAGTACGAGTACCGCGTGATAGCGTACAACAGGTTCGGAGCCAGTAGACAGGAGGCCAGGATCACAGTCACAACTGACCAAGAAGGTACTAATCTCACGGACAGGCGGGGGTGGTGGGGTAGCCTAGTGGGTCAAGCAGTGGCTCGTTACGCCAAAGACCCAGGTTCGATTCCCTACATGGGTACAATGTGTGAAGCCCATTTCTGGTGTGCCCCACCGTGATGTTGCTGGAATATTGCTAAAAGCGGCATAAAACCAAACTCACTCGCTCACTTATGGACAGGCTGGGTCATGAAATATTCACCTGATTGTTGGCTGTTACCATTAGCTTAGGTCTTTCTAAAACTAAATTTGACACAATTGGCATGAGTGAGTTTAGTTTTATGCCACATTTAGCAATACTCCAGCTATATGGCAGTGGTCAGTAGATAATCAGGTCTGGACCAGACAAACCAATGATCAACAGCACGTAATTTTACAATATCTTTCCTTTATTCCCCAAATGTTTAAAAGTTAGAATTGGTCTTCAGCAACCCACGCTTGTCGTAAGAGGCGATATCGTATCACAGTTGTGTAGATCGATGCTCATGCTGTTGATCACTGGATTGTCTGGTCCAGACTCGATAATTTACCAACCAATCAGAGAGTGTGGGTTCAAATCCCATATGGTACTCAAGCCTACAATAGTACTATAATCTGTACTTTCCTGAGACAGCGTAATCCCAAATATAACATATGTTACAACCTTCACCTTGTATTCCAGTGCATGTTCCTAGCCCGCCTGTCAACCTCCGAGCCATGGCCATGACCCCCGACCTCCATCCGGGTCAACTGGAATCCACCAGTCGAGAGCAAGGGCCGGATCTCACACTACGTTCTCATCTACTACGAGGTCGGCTCCGACTCTGAGAAGGAAGTATCTGTGTACAGCACGGAGCATGTCCTGAAAAAACTCAAGAAGTTCCGAGAGTACAGTCTACGAGTGGTGGCGCACAACCAAAACGGTCCTGGTATGAGTACCGAAGAATTTGTGTCCAAGACATTTTCAGACGAACCTAGCGCAGCGCCCCAGAACTTCACCTTGGAGGTGTCTAGTGCCACGGTAAGTTATTGAACCAAAGAACTCATTTAGGAGATAAATTTGAAGCACAGGAGGGTTCAAATGAAATATTCCCGTGCTTCAAATACTCAATAACACCCGGAAATTGGCCAACACATGATGTTTATCGACATTGTAAACACAAAAGTAAACCAAAATGGTCCACACACGTTTTTGTGTCTGCACTCATTGACATGGAGTACGAGTACAGCAGTGAAATGTCATCAGCCGGCCGTTTTGGCTGTTTCCCATGGTAGCATCTGGAACTGCTCATTTGTGACGTCATTCGGACTTTACGTCACAATATGATTTGAATGACGTCATCACAGCTGACGACTTAACAATACAATGGTGTGAGCGATGTTTGTACGTATTAATACGCAGCGAATTTTTGGGAATCGAATACCATTCGATCATGTTTTTCAACCAATCAGATTAAAGAACACAGTGACTTTTCGTTTACAATTGATATTAAAGTTAAACGTGCCTTTGACAAACGGACAGATATGACACACTTTTATTGGCCACTTCCTGTATATTTTTATGTATCCAGAGCCATGGTAAGTTATAGAACCAAAAACCTCTTTTGATATTTAAACCTTTTATCATGCAAAATCCCAGAAGATTGAATACAGTAAACTGTGTTATTTACAGATATGCATTCAACAAACTGACGGATATAACAAACTGACTTTTTTAGTCCGTTACACTTGTTGTATATTTTAGTCAAAATACGTATAACAAACTAAGGTTAGGCCACATGAAATAGATTACATGTTTCTCAGCACTTCTTTTTTGAATGGGTAGGTAGGGAGTTTTTTATTTTTATTGTTTAATATATATTTTTTTTCTGATTTTCTATACCATGTTAGTCAAAAACTTGGAATGCCGGAAGCTGGGACAGATATCGGAAGTCTGCTGGTTTTATACACGTAAATTTACCAGTGCAAACATTTATTTTGAAATCTTATCATCGAGCCAAATTTTAGGGTCAGGCAGTGGAGAGAAACAAGAAATTATTTTTATGTGGCTTTATGATGTATTAAGATCAGTGGTCCTTTTAGTCTGTTATAACTGTAAATTACATGATAGATCATAATATATTATTCATGGCTATCTCTGTATTTTAAAAGATGTTTATTTGATCCTTGTAGTTTAGTGAAATGTGGTCCTAAATAGTTTTTGACAAATGACATACATAATTATTTAATTAGTTCCTGAATAGTTTTAATAAAAGACTGACTGACTGAGTTTGGTTTTACGCCGCTTTTAGCAATATTCCAGCAACATCACGGCAGAGGACACCAGAAATCGGCTTCACAGAGTGTGCCTATGTGGGGATTCGGACCCGGGTCTTCAGCGTAACGAGCCAACGCTTTAACCACTAGGCTACCCCACCACCCCCTTTTAATAAAAGAGATATGTAACATACTGAGATAAAACCACTAACTTCTATGAGGTGTTAAACCAAACTCATTCACTCACTCACTCACTCACTCTGCTTCTTCAGCGGATCATTGTCCGATGGGAACCGCCTGCCTTGGACAACCGGAACGGAATCATCACCGGCTACAAGATACGCTACAAGCGGCGCGGAACCAAGCAGGGAAAGACTGTCACCACGGACGGAAACCGAAACAACTATGCTCTCACAGGTACACCAGCTCGTCATGGACAGAAGCACACATAAGTCTGCAACTCTGTTGACATTTTGTAGTCAAGGTCGTTGTTGTAATACTGTATAGTCAGCTCTCGTTAATCCGACACTCATTAATCCGACAATCACGTTAATTCGGACAAAAAATTAGGGAACCATATTTAGGGAACCATTTAAAACGGTGATAATTACTCTCGTTAATCTGACCTTCTCGCATTCCGACTCCGACACACCAATCTGGCAACTGATTATCGTAAATACATTGTAAAAACATTCGTTAATCCGACAATCAACACAGCCGGTCGGATAATCCGACTGTATACAAACAATCACACGTGAGTGGTAATTAGCGTGTGCCTTACTGGCTGCTTGACACCAACGTCGGTGAACATTTCACTTGTTAATTAGGAACACAGGATAATTAATTGAGAAGAAAGACAAACCCCAGACAACACAACAAGTCGTATATTGTCACATGTAGTGCCACCCCACATGAATGCCCTTCTACAGACCCTCAAGATCAACGCTAACATGAATACCATGAATCTTGATTTGATTCTGAAATATGATTTTCATATAAAAAGAGATATTGTTTAAATGTAATGTAAGATTTTATTAAAGAACAGATGATTTTGATTATTAAGTTAGGAATTGATTTATTATCATAATTCCGTATTTAATAGGCCATTGGGGTTTCCAGCTTAGAACTGACCGCCTCCGTGGTGTAGTGGTTAGAGCCTCCGCCCGGAGAGGGAATGTCGCGGGTTTGACCACCGGCTGCGTCATACCAAAAAGACATTAAAATATGGTACTTGTTGGTCCCTGCCTGGCGCTCGGCATTAATGGGTACATCAAGGACTGGTCGGCTCGGAGTCAGTATAATGTGTCTGAGTGGGGTATTCATGCTTCACTGCGGCGTGGTATCTCAGTGGGCTAGCACTATAAAACCAGCTTCAGTCTGGGCTAGTACAAGCAGCCGCACGTACACATACACACGTATGCACGTCGTCATATGAGTGAAATATTCTCAAGAACGACGTTAAACCCAATTCCACCTCCAGCTTAGAACTGATCCTCAGCAATCTTTGTGGATCAGCTGGACAGGATTAATGACATTGGATATCACTCATAACATCAATCACTGTTTGTGTAGTACAGACTTGATTATTTACTAGCTACTTACCCGTGAACATCCTGGGTTAGAAGTGGTCTTGTCGTAAGAGGCGACTAACAGGATCTGGTGGTTGACAGACGTCATTGTATCCCAACTGCGTAGATCGATGCTCATGCTGTTGATCACTTGATTGTATTGTCCAAAGTTGATTATGTACACACCCTCACCATATAGCTGGAATATTGCCGAGTGCGGTTGTTAAACAACAAACCAACTACTGGCTACTCTATTCAAGCTCTTGATTACAGCTGAGTGCATCATTATGTAACAAAGACACAAAGAGAAGTTTTGAGTGCTCTTTAATTCACTCTTCTAAAGAAGGATCAGGCTATTTGGACCTTTTGCTGATGCTATGGCTTAATTTCAGAGCTTCGTAAGGGTACGGAATACCAGGTGAGGATCTCCGCCTTGACTGTCAACGGGTCTGGTCCAGCCACATCCTGGGAACATGCGACCACCTACCGAGATGACCTGTTAGGTTTGTAACATACGGCTACTTATAGGGACCAGTCATTAATCATGATCAGGAGGGAGGAGTCATTATTTTAACATGAATGGCAAATCTTAGCCTTAGGGACCGTTCATAATTTATGGCTAGGGGGGTGATGATGATTTTTGTGGAGAACCGCCCCTCTCTTAAAATCATCATCACCCCCCTAGCCATAAATTATGAACGGTCCCTTATTGTGTTTAATGTCCTCTCCCTGTTCTTCCATCAGTGAAAAGAAAGTTTTAATTTTATTTTTTAGTATGTCAGATGAGTCATAAATTATGAAATATTCTTTCTTGTTGTTTTTTAAATGTTTGATATGAATTTTTGACTGACATAAACCTCTTCATATTTTATGGGTTCCCTCTTATTTTACTTCTCCCTGAAATTCAGAAAATATTTAAAAATATTTATAGAATAATATTTGTTGATAATATCACAAAAACTTTAAATAATATTCTGTCTTGAAATTATTTATAATAAATCTTATGCCAATGTTTCCTTTTTGTCCAGAAAACCAAGTACCTCCTCGTCCTGCTCGATTGTCTGTGAAGCCTCGTGCTAACTCGATCATTGTCACGTGGGCACCTCCGCCATCAGACTCGAAGATTCTGGTTCGAGGCTATGTGTTGGGATATGGCAAGAATCTACCCGATGTTTACCGCTCAACGGTCGATGCCAACACTCACGACTATACAATACAAAATCTCCGTGAGTTAACAGCAACAAGCAATAAGTTGTTGTGTCTATTCATCAAAGTGGTCGTAGGGCTAGCGTAGTGGTTAAAGTATTCGGTCGTCACAACATTGCTTGAAATAGTTTCCAAATTTTGCTAGCCAAGCAAGCTAGCTATGCCTGAAAGTTATTAGCCCATGAAATAATTCACTTGTCCGAAATTTCAATGTAAACATGGGTTTCATCATTAAGCTGCCAATCTGATGAACAGTTTCATCAAGCCTTAATCTCATATGATTTAAAACTGTGTTATAACTTAACAATTTGGAGAGAGTGATATATTTACAAAATGACCCCATGAAAATTCACTAGCCAGTCGTGCCAGTGACTAGAGATTTACTGGCCCGATTGGATTTTTACTAGCCATGGGCTAGTGGCTATTTCGCACACTGCGTCACGTCATAAATCCAGGTTCAATCCGCCAGAGAGGTATGAGGGACCGTTCATAATTTATGGCTAAGGGGAGGGTGGTTTGATGATGATTTTTATGAAGAAGCTTGTACAATGTGAATGACCCCCCCTAAAATTTATGTACAAAATAAGTGATCCCCCTGGATGTCATGTACAAAGTCAATATTTCTTAATCACTGCTTCATATAATATAACTGCAATTTCTCAGAAAAGAGAGGTCAATCGTATATTTTCAGTACACCAGGATGTCTAGTGAACACAATTTTGGCATACATTAATCCTAAAGTTAAAGATTGATGTCTCCTAGTTTATTTGTCTGACATATGACTAGTTGTAATGTATATGTTTTCTTCAGAGCCGGTGTCGGAGTACGTGATATCTATACGAGCATTCAACAAGGAGGGGGAAGGAGAAGTCAAATACGAGACCGTCACCACCATGGAGGAGACAAGTCAGTTTAAACTTAAATTTAACAAATTAAAAAAATAATAAACAACAAACAGTTTTTATAAAATAGCTACCTCATGTTCATAAATGTTCACTCATGGATAAATTTATGTTACCAGTAAATAATTAGTAATTTTCATTAGTGTATTTTCTGAAATTATTTGTAACATTTAATGTAGTTGTTATATTAGATTTATTCACTGTATTTCATTAAAAAAGTTTTTTTGTTCGATTATTCTTTAGAAGTATTATGATTATTTCATCCCCTAGTTAGACATCTTTCAATACCCCCCAGTGAAATCTTTAGTATTACTTCCTTCTACTACTTCTTGTCTGGGTGGGGTATCCTAATGGTTAAGGCATCATCACGCTGAAGACCTGGGTTCAATTCCCGACATGGGTAGAATGTGTCAAGCCCATTTTGGTGTCTCCTCCCATGATATTGCTGGAATGTTGCTAAAAGCGGCACAAAACCATACTCACTCACTGACTCACTCACTTTCCTGTCTGAGTTTAGAGCTGATACAGAATTATAACATTATCTAGTTATTCTGCAACAATTTCTGTCCTGATACTCCAATAACCATGGCTTTTGTTACTAATTGATTAATGTCAAATAGAGTGGATACATAACATGTAGGGGCGGTGGGGTAGCCTAGTGGTTAAAGCGTTGGCTCGTCACGCCGAAGACCTGGGTTCGATTCCCCACATGGGTACAACGTGTGAAGCCCATTTGTGGTGTCCCCCGCCGTGATATTGCTGAAATATTGCTAAAAGCGGCGTTAAACCCAACTCACTCACTCACTCACTCACTCACTCATAACATGTACTATACTGACAAATTTATGGATAGCAACTTCTTTTATTTTGTGAGTGCGACGTTTTGGTACCGATTCTCTTTCCATGTGGACAACGTACTAGAGTCTATAAAAATGTCACACTCAAAAAATAAACAAAGTTGTTATCCATAAAATTGTCAGTATTGTACTTCCATACTTCGAAAAAGGTGTATTAATTTTCCATTTCTGTTTTAATTATATAGAAACCAAAGAATATCCATGTCATTCGTCCATACGAAAAAACATGGATTTAAAAAGTTTTGCCACATTTCATGACACGATTGTAGCTCTACGTCTGTTAAGTTCCGTGACCTTGACACAGTGTTGTAGTAGTTGTAGCCCTACAATGGCTCTGTGAAGTGGGCCCTGGTTGTGACTGCAGATTGAGCCCCATTTTCCCACCCTTTTATTCATGATCCATTTCAAGTTCTTCTGAAATAGTTTAACCTAGACTAGTTGTCCTGCTTGTAGTTTTGTTGCCACTAACGATTCCTGGTACTAAAATAGAATGGGTTTTGCCCGTTTCTCCCAGCAGAGGAACCCGCCACGCCAATGATGCCCCCGATTGGTCTCAAGGCCATCGTGTTGTCTCCGTCCACCATTGTGTTGACGTGGGCCGATAACACCCTCGGCAAGAGTCAGAAGATAACTGATAACAGGTACTACACTGTGCGATACACGCCTCTACCGAGCCACAACCGTCGGCCGAGGCAGCTCAACTCCACTGATCTCAACGCCCATGTTGATGGGCTCAAGCCAAACACACAGTATGAGTTCTCGGTCAAGGTCATCAAAGGTCGCAGGCAGAGCACGTGGAGCATGAGTGTTGTGAATACAACACAAGAATCAGGTACGAGAAACACATGATTACTTATGACTTGTGTATTACCAATGTTGGAAAGAATATGTTTGCTTACAGAAGTGAAAAGAAATTTACAACTTGACACAGGTTTTTCATCCATAAACACTAACACTGGCTGATAGAAACTATAATTCAGGTCTATACTGGTCTATACAGGTCTATACTGGTCGAAAGAGGCTTCCAAACGAATCAGAATGTGTGACTTGGTTCATCCAAGTCATCGTACGAGGTGCCATTGCTTACAATACTTATCACCGGATTGTCTGGTCCAGTCTCAATTATTTCAAGGCTACAATCATAGCTATGCTACAAAACATAAAAAACTATGATTAAATGATTTCTTTCTAATGCATTGTCTTCATCATAGATGTACACTATTTATGTTATTGAATTACACAAAAAAAATTGTTTTAATAATGGCTGATGGAAACAGAACCGCCAGAACTGCCCAACTGCATGCCTCTTGTCTGTTCCAAAGCCTAATGTAGCCTAATTGTTAAAGCGTCTGCTCGTCACACTGAATACCTGGGTTCGATTCCCCACATGAGTACAATGTATGAAGCCCATTTCTGGTGTCCTCTGCTGTGATATTGCTGGAATATTGCTAAAAGCGGCATACAACCCAACTCACTCACTCATTCACTCACTTGTCTCTTCCAGCACCCGGGTCTGAGCCAAGAGACTTAACCCCAGTGGCCGTGGAGGGCAACCCCCTTGCTGTCACACTCAACTGGCAACCCCCCCAGAAACCCAACGGTTTAATCACAGGTAAGCCCTCAAACATCAGCTCTTAGAAAACAGGAATCAGAATCTCAACAAATTGATACAGCTGAATAGGGGTGCCACGATACACTTACCTCGCCTATCAATACATATTGATATAATGTACATTCATCACAATAGGGCAAATATGATACTTAAATTGTGCAAATATTTTGAGACATTCTCCTTTTTCCATGGCTCTGCTCGATTAAGTTTTTGTGCCCATCATTTTATGTTTTACTCCAATGATTCAGGTGTATTTTGTTATTTTGTCAAGTCAGCGTTTTGTTTTGTCAGGTTCAGTAACACCCCCAAGGTAGTTCAGTCTAAATAGCATGAAATCTTTCACACTGATGCCTGGGCCTAGATTTTCGAAGCTCTCTTAGAGCTAAGATAGTTGTAAATTAATGTTAATGTATTGCACTTATGACTATATTAGAGCTAAGAGAGCTTCGAAAATCTAGGCCCTGACCTCTCTGTGTAAAGATCAGGGTGTTGTTGTACAAAGTGATCTTAGAGCTAAGGTGATCGTAACTTCCATATCATAACAAAGACTTACAACTGGCATAGCGCTAAGGTGATCGTAACTTCCATATCATAACAAAGACTTACAACTGGTGTAGCGCTAAGGTGATCGTAACTTCCATATCATAACAAAGACTTACAACTGGTGTAGCGCTAAGGTGATCGTAACTTCCATATCATAACAAAGACGTACAACTGGTGTAGCGCTAAGGTGATCGTAACTTCCATATCATAACAAAGACTTACAACTGGTGTAGCGCTAAGGTGATCGTAACTTCCATATCATAACAAAGACTTACAACTGGTGTAGCGCTAAGGTGATCGTAACTTCCATATCATAACAAAGACTTACGACTGGCGTAGCGCTAAGGTGATCGTAACTTCCATATCATAACAAAGACTTACGACTGGCGTAGCGCTAAGGTGATCGTAACTTCCATATCATAACAAAGACTTACGACTGGCGTAGCGCTAAGGTGATCGTAACTTCCATATCATAACAAAGACTTACGACTGGCTGCTTCGTACAACGGCACCCTGGGGAGACCTCTGTCGGAGGTTGTGTCAGGTTAACTTTCCAATCAGACAATGACAATCAAGGTTTTGAATTTCTCAGTACAAGTAAGTGAAGCAGGTCACATTTCTGTATCTTGAAAATAAATTTAAATCGTTTCTGAGTGTGGACAGTTACACCCGTCCAGATATTATATAGACAGTCATTTCTGACATTAAGCCAAAAAAGGAAACCATTTACCTCAAAGGAATGTTTGTGCTCTTGGAGGATTTCCTAAATAAATAATAAATATTTGTGCCTTTTGATGATTTCCTAAATAAATAAATATTTGTGCTTTTTGAGGATTTCGTAAAAAAATAAATAAATATCTGTATTTATGGATGAATGAATGAATGAATGAATGAATGAATGAATTCACCACTCATCCTTTGTATAGATTGTATAATCATAGTATACTCTGTGTTCAACTAGAACGTCTGAAGTACGTGCCCGAGATTTTGACACACAGAACACATACATTACATTTGGAATCTGAAAACACACAAAACATGAAGGATAGACTGTCGTGCGGCATCTGGTTAGATAACTCGTGATGTGTTGATGGGTCAGTGAATCGTGACAACCCTAACATCGATGTTTCCAAACTATTCATGTCCACCATTATATTTTTTCCTGCAATCCCTCTCCAGAAAAAACAGGTATGCTATCCCCGATCACACAGTGTCTGTGTGCCTGTGTTTGTTTGTCTGTGTCCATGTTTGTCCGTCTGTGTCTGTTAGTCCATGTCATGTCCCATAATGCACCCCTGTGGAGTAGGTACAACTTCCTGTTTCCCATGGTGCAACCTGTTCTCTTCACAGACACTGCTGTGCTTCCATACCTAGATTGGTGGTTTCAGTGTCTTCTAATGCAGAGATCATATTTGCAGGAATTTTGTTTGCAGCAGAAAAAGATTTCAAAAGCAATTGTAACAATTGTACAACTGATTATACACAGAAATGATTTCTTTGATGGGCATTTTAGAAGTTGAGTTTATGAAGAATAATGACAATTATTATGGATATACAACTTCTTTTAATGTCATCACTTGCTTGACAACGACATTAGAATCTATGTCGAAATGTCGCCTCCACAGAATAAAAAAGGTTGTATATCCGTAATAATTGTCATTATACTACAGAAATGATTTCCTATCAATATCCTGTTAAAAAGCCACCAAATGTTTTGAAGAAAAGATTCCTTCATGTTTTGAGTCTTACAAAGCCCTTTTTTTTCTTCATTTTTCAAAACTTCTATCATTATATCATTCTTGTCAGAACATCAAGAAAAGTATAACCAAAAAATAAAATTTTCAACATGAAAAAAAAAAAAAAAATGGACAAAAGATGAAAATAGCTTTATTTCTCCTTGACTTGTATTTGGTGTATTCTGGGTGATTTGTGCTCTGTAGGTGTTTAAATTTGTTCGATGGTTTAGAGGTAGACATTTTACTCTTGTTGATATTTTCATGCACATATCGTGTGTGTTCTCACGTGTTGCACTCTTGTCGATGGTAAACAGTCACATTATCTGTCGTACTCCCCCTGCAACTCGCTGTCGTACACACTCTGTTCCACGTTCCACAGAACATCCGAATGAACATAAAAAAAAAACAATTTGAGAAAGTAAAATACGCAAAGGGAAAATTCAGAATAGCCAATTTTGTTAATATGATGTTCTGTTTAGGTAGTGAATAGACAAGATCCTGTATTTTTATGTTATTATGAAACATTTTATTTCTTGGAAATCATGAATCATACTATGTTATTATAAAACAGCTTATTTTATTGGAGATCATTAATGATACTTTGTTATTATAAAACAGTTTATTTATAGGATATCATGAATCGTACTGTGTTATTATAAAACAGTTTATTCACAAAAGCGTTTTATTTAAAGTTTCAGTTGATTTAAGTTTGCAAGCATTCATCATATAATACATGCTGCTGTACAAGCAATATAGTCTTCAACTCTAGTTAAGTTCACCATCTTTCTCTCACAGGTTATGTCTCAGAAAACACAAATATGACAAAAAGTATGTTGTTTTCTTTTACGAATGAAGAAATATCGGAAATGGCCTTGTTTGACATCATACTTGCTGGCATCAAATTGATGTCAAAATTACAAAAGCTGAAAATCACATCTGAAACATGAAATGCTTTTTTATGATAAGGCCAGACCAATTTTATTTCTTGTTTTACGGATCCGTCTGTCTTATTTTTTCAAGAATAAGAAAAAAAATAAAAATAATTTTCCCCACTCCAAAAACAAAATCCTTGTTTTTATTGGCAAAGAATGTTAACTTACAACAAAAACATTTTGATTGTTTTTTGCCTCATATACACTTCATAACTTGCCAAAAATAAAATACTTTTAGTATGCAAAAGAAATATTACTTTGACTGGTGATTTTATTTGTTATTTTTCCCTCATGCCTTTAGGTTTTCTGAGGACAAAAATCCATAAAACAAGAAATAAAATTGGTCTGGCCTAAAATGTTAAACAATATTTAAATTTAATTTAACTTTTTTATTTTGTTTCAGGGTACCTGATATTTTACACAACAGACTCCAACCAGGCAGACAGAGACTGGGTCCTAGAGGGTGTGGTTGGAGACAAGCTGTCCACGGTCATCAGTGACCTGACACCGGACACCACCTACTACTTTAAGGTCCAGGCTCGGAATCGCAAAGGCTACGGACCTATGTCGGAAACCAAGATCTACAAAACACCAAAAAGTGAGTCATTGGCTGAGGAACAGATCTGTGAAGATCCAGGTTAGAATTGTCTTCAGTGACCCTGGCTTGTCGTAAGAGGCGATAAACGGGATCGGGAGGTCAGGCTCGCCAACTTGGTTGACACATGTCATCGTATCCCCATTGTGTAGATCGATCCTCATGCTGTTGATCACTGGATTGTCTGGTCCAGACTGGATTATTTACAGACCGCCGCCATATAGCTGGAATATTGCTGAGTGCGGCGTTAAACAAACAAACAAACAAACAAACAGAGGAACTTTGTCCTTTGAAATCTTGAATTGTAGCTGTTAGAATCGTGGATTGCTTGCTGTAGTTATGATTTTTCTTTTGAAATAATAAGTTGTGTGTGTTGTAAGCATGAAGTTTGATTGTTAAAACCATAAATTGTGATTGTTGACATAAAGTACACCTGTTGACGTTATGAATTGTTTCAAGGAATCATGAACTCAATGATGTGTTGAAAATTTGTTGAAATGAATTGTTTTGCATTTTACATCATGAAATGCATCTGTTGCAATAATGAATTGTTTCTTGACATCATGAACTGCACCTTGAGAAATCATGAATCATCCTTGCTGACATGAACTCTCATCTGTTGCACATTTTGCGCATTTCATTTGAAATCATGCTGGTAGATGTTTGTCTTATTTCTACATGGATACTTGTTTATGTTTTACTGTTAAAGTTAATTTGTTAAATTTTAAATATGTGTGAAAATTGACCTTTGGCTGAAATGATGATTGTCCATAATATGTTAGCATATTGGAAAAGCCGATCTAACTGATAAGGTGGGTGAAATTGGGGCAATAAATAAGGACTCTTTTTTTCCAAATATACCTCCAGAAAACATATAACTATACACTATTCTCAAAATGATGGAAAAAGAGTGAAAATCTAGCTGAAATATTGTTTTCTCCTCGTGCCCAGTTGACCAAGCAGCAATGACGGATTCTGACGAACAGGGCGGCTTGTCCATGAACATCATCATTATCATCATCGCGGTTGCCGTGGGAATAATCTTCTGCATCATCATCATCGTGGTCAGTGTTCTGCTGTGCAAGAAACGTGACGCTCAGCGCCAGGACATCAGAAGGTGGGGGAATGAGAAACCTATATGGCAATAACCTTCTTAGAAGTTTCGTTTCTTGTCTAATTTCTAAGACGAGAGTGTATGTTTTTAATCTCTGACTTAAAATAAATCAGATGACTTAACTATAAATCAACATTAATAGTTCCAGCACTCGGTCTGTAATTCAACTGGTGGGGTAGCCAAGAGGTTAAAGCATTCGCCAGTCGCACCAGTGGCCTGGGATCAGTTCCTCACACAATGTGTCACCCTGCTGGAATATTGCTAAAAGCAGTGTACAACCCAACTCACTCACTGATTCAATCACTCATTCATTCGCTACCGGGATCGGGTGGTCAGGCTGACATGTGTCATCGTATCCCAACTGTGTAGAACGATGCTTATGCTGTTAATCATTGGATTGTGTGGTTCAGATCAATTATTTACAGACCGCCTCAATTTGGCTGGAGTATTGCTGAGTGCAACGTTAAATAACAAATTCACTCACTCACTCAACCACTCACTCACTCAACCACTCACTCAGTCATTCACCCACTCACCCACTCTAATTCCACTGATCTGACCTTCCAGCTACAAGTCCCCCGAACAAGCCATTGAAGGGGATCCCGAAGGACGTGAAGCCTCCGGACCTGTGGATCCATCAACCCAACCACATGGAGATGGGGAAGATGGACAAGTCCCAGCGTAGCGAGTCCAACATGTCCGTCGCCACCAGCACGCTACGGCGGTCGTCGCGCGGCTCCTCCGACCGGCTGGACGAGTTCCCTCCAGGGCTGGACATTATGGACAAGCGGAGAAACTCTTTTGTCGGTTAGTGTTTAGAATGCATCAGTTTTGGGAACAATGTCAAGGCCAAACTTTTTAAAGTTGTTGGCAAATCCACCGATTCCCAAAAATTGAAATGTGAAACCTATAGAAATATACTCAAACAGGAAATGTGCAAAATATTCTAAACACCAACTCATTAACTGCCATTTTCAAAATAAATAAATTGTTTAAAATGTTGTATTAAGATATTGTGATATTTGTCTCCTAAATGAGAGAATGGGTTTGTGAGAATGGTGATATTTGTCTTCTACAGGAGAGAGAGAGTTTGTGTTAATGGTGATATTTGTCTCCTTCAGGAGAGAGAGAGTTTGTGTTAATGGTGATATTCAGGAGAGGAGAGAGTTTGTGTTAATGGTGATATTTGTCTCCTTCAGGAGAGAGAGAGTTTGTGTTAATGGTGATATTTGTCTCCTTCAGGAGAGAGAGAGTTTGTGTTAATGGTGATATTTGTCTCCTTCAGGAGAGAGAGAGTTTGTGTTAATGGTGATATTTGTCTCCTTCAGAGAGAGTTTGTGTTAATGGTGATATTTGTCTCCTTCAGGAGAGAGAGTTTGTGTTAATGGTGATATTTGTCTCCTTCAGGAGAGAGAGAGAGTTTGTGTTAATGGTGATATTTGTCTCCTTCAGGAGAGAGAGTTTGTGTTAATGGTGATATTTGGTGATATTTGTGTTAATGGTGATATTTGTCTCCTTCAGGAGAGAGAGTTTGTGTTAATGGTGATATTTGTCTCCTTCAGGAGAGAGAGAGTTTGTGTTAATGGTGATATTTGTCTCCTTCAGGAGAGAGAGAGTTTGTGTTAATGGTGATATTTGTCTCCTTCAGGAGAGAGAGTTTGTGTTAATGGTGATATTTGTCTCCTTCAGGAGATTTGTCTCCTTCAGGAGAAGTTTGTGTTAATGGTGATATTTGTCTCCTTCAGGAGAGAGAGAGAGTTTGTGTTAATGGTGATATTTGTCTCCTTCAGGAGAGAGAGAGAGTTTGTGTTAATGGTGATATTTGTCTCCTTCAGGAGAGAGAGAGAGTTTGTGTTAATGGTGATATTTGTCTCCTTCAGGGGAGAGAGAGTTTGTGTTAATGGTGATATTTGTCTCCTTCAGGAGAGAGAGAGTTTGTGTTAATGGTGATATTTTATCTCCTTCAGGAGAGAGAGAGTTTGTGATAATGGTGATATTTGTCTCCTTCAGGAGAGAGAGAGTTTGTGTTAATGGTGATATTTGTCTCCTGCAGGAGAGAGAGAGTTTGTGTTAATGGTGATATTTGTCTCCTACAGGAAAGAGAGAGTTTGTTTTAATGGTGATATTTGTCTCCTCCGGGAGAGAGAGAGTTTGTGTTAATGGTGATATTTGTCTCCTTCAGGAGAGAGAGAGTTTGTGTTACTGGTGATATTTGTCTCCTACAGGAGAGAGTGGGTACCCCTCAAGTGGGGAGGAAAGGTACCAGCCAGCACATCAGAGGAGCATCGTCCGTCCGAAACCCATCACCATTCCCGTGGATGCACAGCCGCTTCAGAAAGAACGTACGTCTTTGTCATCATCACCTCACAGAAGCATATGTCTGTTTGAAATTGGGGACCTGAAAATTGGGGCGGTGGGTAGCCTAGTGGTTAATGTGTTTGCTCGTCACGCCGAAGACCCGGGTTCGATTCCCCACATGGATACAATGTGTGAAGCCCATTTCTGGTGTCCCCTGCCGTGATATTGTTGGAATATTGCTTAAAAGGGCTTAAAACTCAACTAACTCACTCACTGTTTGAAATTATTCCAATACAAAAAAATTCTGTCTATTCAAATCATTATTGTATTGTCAGAGCATTTGAGCAAATATTGAACATTTGTTTAGTAATTTATTGACTAAATATCAGACTGCAGTCAGTAAATTTCACAGTAACTAAAAGACCTCATTTCAATGTTATAAACTTCTGGGATGGTGGGATAGCCTAATGGTTAAAGCATCTTCACGCTGAAGACCTGTGTGAGTGAGTGAGTTTAGTTTTAGGCCACTTTTAGCAATATTCCAGCAATATCACTGTGAGGGACACCATAAATGGGCTCCCCATGTGGGGAATCGAACCTGCGGTTTCGGCGAGGTGGGTGAACGCTTTAACCACTAGGCTACCGCACCACACCGTTAAGACTCAATTTACTGCACCAAAATCAAACAAGTGCAGTTTAGTGTCACAGGGAAGGTAACAGAGATAATAGCTTGTTTGATTTCACTACGGTGTGTCATCTCTAACCGCATATCATAATCTTTGGTACCTCTTTTGAAGTCTTCAACAGTCTTTACATCCACCCATTTTGCATTCAGCGGTTGCCACGGTAACAGCATTACCAAATGGTCACATCACCCAAATGATTGACCCTCGAGATGTCGGAGGTCACCCGATGCGACCTGTGTACCCTCGAACCCAGTACAACACGCAGTACACCTCAACGCGCCGCGTCAACGCTGGGGACATACCACAGTCAAGCTCAAGTGAGTATTAAATCTGATTTTCCACTTTTTCTTGAAATTCTCTTTTTCAATGTTTATATTTCAACTTTTCAAGTTGAGAACTTATGTGTAATCTGATTCAATTATGTCATGTTTTCAATAATTTTAAAGGCATTTTGATTTGATCTTTTTCATTATTTTGGCGATATGTTTTCGTTTTAATGATGTTCCAGTTTAAAGCATCCTCTAAGTCTAACACATTTCTCACTTAATAATTTGCTTGATTCAATTTTCAAATTTTGCACCCACCTGTAATGGACTGTAACAAATATTTGCTTTTTGGATTAAAATATCTGTTTATAATACTCATGAACAGAAAATGAAAAATTTAAAATAATTTGTTGTGGTCCAATGGCAATAGTTTATATTTAATGTTTCCTGCATGGTTTCACCCAGCTTTTGAGTAACGTTTGTTGAGGCATTAACCATCTTCTGTAATTCAGGGTAATTTATGTCCATTCTGTTGCGATGAAAACCCTGGACCCAATCACCAATCGTTTGAGAACTGACATAACCATCTCTCTTATCACTAACATTGCACAGATTTTCTATTGCACAGCAGAGTGATTTGATTGGATGGCTATATTTAGCATCAGGCTGTTTATATTATAATGAAGCTGTTAGTGTGCATGGGTCCAGGGTATAGAATGGATATAAAATGCCCTGCATAGAAGAGGATGGGAATTAACTGGTTGCTGAAGTTTACGGTTAGGTGTTCACGGCTAATAATAATAAGTTATAACTGACTGAAAAAGATTCTGCAATTTCTTGAAAACTTTCTAACAGTATAAAAGACCATTGATATTTTAGTAAAATTAGAAAAATGTTTTTCAGGAACTGTTAAAAATTATATGTAATGTACCAGTGTTATTAATGGAGATGAAAATATATACTTTCATAAAGGAATTGTATTTCTGTTGTATTCATCAAAACATTTCCAGATGTTACCCTCCTTCTCAGGATAGCCACAGAGCACAGACAACAATCAACATAAGTTATTCATCAACAGAAACAAATGCCATCCTCATGAAATAGGCTGTGATTACAAAACTGATGTTAATGTTTGAGTGATATTCTAACATGTAGGCCTTTTAAAAAGTGTTCCTCTACTTTTTTCGGAATATTGTTACCAAAATCAGAATGGTGATTAGGATTCTGTTCTATTTCAAATAATTTGGTTGAAAACTCTTATTGGGAATATATTGTTTAAAATAGTAATAATCTGAAATATTGATTAGGAGTCAAATCTGTTGCAAATGATTTGGTTGAAATTGTAATAGGGAATATTTTGTTTCCAAATTGTAATAATATGCATTAGTGGTTATGGTTCTATTCTGCTTCAATAATTTAGTTAAAACTCTTGCTAATTGGGAATATGTTGTTTCCAAATTGTAAAAATCTGCAATAGTGATGGTCCTCTTCTATTTCAATTTTTTTAGTTGAAACTGTTTCTGACTGGGAATATATTGTTTCAAAATAGTAATAATCTGCAATGAAAACAAAATAAATCTTTAAAATTCAAGTAGTTTCAACGATCACTGTGGCTACTCTGATAAATGATGTATAACATATTCAGCGTGATGCTTCATAACTTTCCTCACTGTTATTGAGAGAAAGACTAATGCTAGTAATTTGCTAGCGTGTGTGTGTTGTGTTGGTGGCATGATATGTTTGTTTTCCTCGTCAGCTAAAGCCATGTCATCATTGAGCGAAGACGAGTGTGTGGGCTATCCCCCTGACGTGTTTGAAGACTCCTACGCCAGTAGAATAGGCTATGGCATGTATTCCTTCTTTACCTCTTCTCAAAACACCAGATGCCGATTTCAGCGAGTTCCTGCAGAAATTCTGTGGAAATTCTATGGAAATTACCAGAAATTTTGCAGAAGTTGTTGGAATGCACTATTCCAGCACAATCAGCACTTACATGCATCTTACATTTAACCACAGGATTAATAATCTGCTCAATTTATGTCTGAGAGTTTTGATACACATAGAGAACACTCACAATCTTACACTTTTAATTCCTTAGATACCTGCATGAATCATGCACATTTAAGGTTTGTATTTCTGTTCAGTTTCTCTCACACACCCATTTTATGTGTGTTTTCCATTTTCCTTGATCTGGATGTATTTTCAATAGTTTATGGATATGTTTTGCTGACTGATCAGCCATTGAGGCGTAAGACAGGGACACCCTCTTCCCCAGTATTTCTTGATAACAATTCCTGATGAGGACTGGCATTAGTTGAACTGTTTCAGATAACAGTATTTTTTATTATCAACAGTAATGTCAAGGGATATTTCATCCGCATATTTTAGTGTAACATATCATTAATTAATTTCATGTGGGTAGTCATAAATTGCATTTCAAGAAAAAAAATAATCAGATTTAGCATGCATGGCCTTTATTTCATTGCTACATTTTCTGGCAAAAGCTAACATGTAACATAAGGCTGGAATAGTGTTAATTTTTTTTCTGAAGCTGTCTGTGTCTTGAACAGTTCCAAGTTGGGAATATTTATGATTACATATCAATATGAAACATGATCATCACATCAGTATTGATATGCTTGACAGGTAAGTACATGAATTGACACTAAAACTCTGTGAAGGAGACGCATTTCAGGAAACACCCTGTTGTTTATACATTCCTCCACCACCCCATCTGCAGTATTGTCGCAATCAGTATATCGGTCATAAAGACAGACGCAGTCAACATCTCAATACTCACAGTATTGCCAGTGGGTAAATCTGAACTCACTCGCTATAGCCAATCGCTGTGAGCAGTGACGTTGCTTTAAAGTGAGTCAGAATGATTTTCACTGCTTTTAGGAATATTCCATCAATATCTTGTCAGGGGACTCCAGAAATGGGCTTCACACATTGTACCGATGTGGGGAATCAAACTCAGATCTTAGAGCGAATGCCTCTACCACTTTGCTACCCCATTGTTGCTTTGAAAGCCTTTATTGACTTTCATGAGTTAAGAACAGACTGCGAGTAGTGGAGTGGCCCAGTGGTTAAAGTGTTTGCTCATCAGACTGAAGACCCACATAGGGACGATATGTGAAGCCTATTTCTGGTGTTCCCCACTGTGATATAGCTGGGACATTGCTAAAAGCGGCATAAAACTAAACACATTCATTAAGAACAGACTAATACTGTTTTGGGCTTCATAACACCGCACACAGCAATATTCCAACTATATGGCGGCAGTCTGTCAATAATTGAGGCTGGACCAGACAATCCAGTGATTAACATCATGCACATCGATCTACGTAATTGAGATATGAGGACCTGTGTCAACTAAGTCAGCGAGCCTGACCACCCGATCCCATTAGTCGCCTGTCACGTCAAGCATAGGTTACTGAAGACCAATTCCAACCAAGATCTTCATGAGTGAATTAGCTTGCTGGAAACAGACATGTGAGTATGACTGCGACAATATGTATTTGGGGTGATGGAGAGAATGTGTTGGGACTATGAAGTATTGTTGACAAACAAAACATTTCAGTCCTTGCACCAAGGTAGACTATTGTGCTATAGACTTGTGTGCGAAGTGATTAACTTTGTCCCGACGTCCATTGTCTCCATGTGTCCAGTTGTGTTTGTCACCAAGTCACGTGACCCGTGTGTCTGTTGGTTGTCGGTGAAGCGGGTTAGAGCCCATGTGGTAGCTGAGTGTTCTAGACATATAATCATAGCATCAACGCTTTGACCTCACTCATTTGCATGTGACCCCATCATACTGACTCCTCCCACCAGTTATAACATCTCTTGTCCCGCCCCTTCCAGTCTCCAGAATCGCCAAACTGCATGACAACAGTCTCGTCTTCCAAAATCTGTCGAGTGAATTTGTCTCTGTTCCTAACAAGCTGGAATTTAATAAACAAAAAAAAAGAATACAAATCAGTTCAAAACCTGAAATCTACATCGGAAAGATGTTTATATTTGAAAAAAAGTCATGTGACAAAGGGAGGTAACTGTGATCATGCTTAATTCCAGGCCCTATCTCACCTGAATCACCAACCCCATATGATCAACAAGCAAACACATTCGCTGAGTCGACAAGTGGGGTGGTCTCTTCAGAGGCCTTGAAGGTTTCCCTGGGGCGCACCCCCAACCCGCTGCGGAGCTTTGCCCTCCCTGGCCCCCCCTCCCCAGGAGCTACCCCACCCAGACACATAGGTAGGAGTCACTGAACACTCAGCTGCCAGGGTTGCCAGGCAACAAAGCCATGGACCATTTGACGTGGGCGGGAGTGGGATCGTTTTCTTTTCAATTATTTTGAATACAAGAAACACGAAATACATAATCAAGTCTTGTGAAAAACAAATGTGTGAAAAAAATAACTTTTGTTGGTCAACACAATCCCAGGAGACATCAGTACCAAATCAGTGATGTTGTTCAACGCAATAATGCAATATGAACCCCGCTGTTTCTATTATTAACCAATCAGGGAGCCGTATTCCATTCATGGCTGCAGTACTCCTATTTTTGGGTTAATGGAATCTAATTGCAAACAATTTGCTTTGTAAGCCAATCAATTACCATTGAGTCCCTTGCATTTTATTTATTAATGATTGTTTCCAGAATATAGCCAATTTTTGTCTCCAAAACAAACTTAGTTTACTCAGCACAGTTGTTTGTGAAAATAAATATGTTTGGCTCTTCATTTGAGGAAAAATAATTGTCTTGAAGCGGTAACCGACACTATTTTATCTCTGAAACATCCTAGATTCTTAGTTTTTCTGCAAAGACATAATTATTAAACCAAATAATTTTTGCTGGAAATTATGTGAAAATGTAAATATGAGATATATCAAGCAAGATAATTTGCAGAAGTGTATGTTCAGAGTGATGTATTTATGAGCAGCGACGGGGAAAGAAAGGCACTCTCATAGTCTGACTGTTAGGTCACCCCTTTTGTGAAATATCCTGAAGGTAACAACTCTGTCCTTCCAAGTCACTTGTAATTATGACCTGAGGTCATGCACGTAAATAGCACGCTGACCTAACCCATAAGCTGTTACATTTACTGTGACTTCACCCCGTCTATTGACACCAAAACAAACAGAAATTTTAATGATAGTTACTTAAGTAACTTTTTCCACAAGTAACCAACCAATTTATAACTATTTTTTCTTATTATGTCAGCAGGAATCATTAAGATAAACGTTAATGGCATGTGGTCAGTTGGTGTTATTTGGAAGATATTTGACAAAAGGGGTGTCCCCAAAGTTGGGTTGACAGACTATACTTGTGAATTGTCTATGGATTTTGAGATCAAATAGGTCTCATGTATACTTTAACATCGGTGTGGATAGTTGTATTTAGAGATCACTCAAAGCATAGGATCCTAACTGATGGAAAGAATGGACAGAAATGTAGCCTGGATGTCATGTTCTGTGACTTTGCCAACTGCATACTCCGTCCACGCCATCATGGCAAGCACCATTGCTCAGGCTATCAGCACCTGGGTCCTCATCCAAATGCTTACAAATGTCGTAGCACTACAAATGCTTTGTGGATCTGGACCCTTGGCAATCGTAGCGCTACGACTGTCGTAAGTCTATGTTAAAGTATGGGAGTTACGATCATCTTAGCGCTATGATTTCTTTGTGGAATGGGGCCCGGGGCCCCGATCCACAAGGCGTTCGTAACATTATGATCTGTCGTAACTCTATAGTTTATCATAGGCTTACGAATGTCGTAGCGCTATGAACACTTTGTGGAATGGGGCCCGGGGCCCTTATTCTCGAAACGTTCGTAGCCCTAAGAATTCGTAACTTTGATCTTATCCAATGTGTTAAGAATGGGCTTAAGAAGTTCGTAGGGATACGAACGTTTCGAGGATAGCTAGCCTGATCCACAAAGCGTTCGTAACGTTACGACCTGTCGTAACTCTATAGTTTATCATAGGCTTACGAATGTCGTAGCGCTATGAACACTTTGTGGAATGGGGCCCTGGTCTTTGATCAGGTACAAGTTGGCGTGATGATGCTGCCTGTGTGTAAAACAATGTTCACCTTCTAACTTCAATTATAACAGTGAAAACACCAGGGTCTTGTTCCACAAAGTCTTCAACAGACTTTTTAGGGTGGAGTAACAGATATTACCTGCAGATATTCAGTTCAATAAGTGAAAATGAAAATATATTAACAGAATTTTGAATAATAATATTAGAAAGAAGTTCAGAAGTTTGTTTGAATATTTTTTATCATTATGGTATTGAAGTGTAACTATTTTTTATGTCCTAATAGTGATAGGAAATGAGGGGGTGGAAAAAGTTAGGGTCTTTCAACATTCTGACAGATTTGCAAAGGTAGTCGAAAAAATCTACCCTATAAACCGACCTCCTAACTACACATTTCAACAAAGACCTACCAAAATTAGCGTTAATATTGCTTTGTGGGAAAGGGCCCTGCTCCCGCTGGTAGAATGATATACTTTTGAAATTAAAAATACAAGTGCCTTAGAAACAAGAATATTTGGTCTTATTATGCCACAGCACTTGCAGGAATTGTAACCAAGGTGTGTATTTTTCTTGCAGTTAAACCACAGCCTAATCTAAGTCCTTACAAGAAGCCCACTCCACCAATCACCGCTGGACCCATCAAGTCTCGGTCACCGCTTCCACTGATTACTTCCAAAGCGCCCGACGTGACGCTCAAAGCGGGCAAAACTGGCAAAGAAGACAATGGGATGGAGGTTTGTTTGTTTGTTCTTGTACCAATCAGCAATAATCCAGTTATATGGCAGCGGTCTGTAAAGAATCAAGTCTGAACCAGACAATCCAGTGATTTACATCATGAGCATTGGGATACCGTGAAATGTGTCGGTCAAGTCATCAACCCTGACCACCCAATCAATAATCCTCTTGTACCAATCAGCAATAATCCAGCTATATGGCAGCGGTCTGTAAAGAATCAAGTCTGAACCAGACAATCCAGTGATTTACATCATGAGCATTGGGATACCGTGAAATGTGTCGGTCAAGTCATCAACCCTGACCACCCAATCCCGACAAGCATTGGTAACTGAAGACCAATTCTAACTAGGATCTTCATGCTGACAATCGTCACGATATGGCTGCAATATTGCCGATGTGACGTTAAATATTAACTCACTCACTCACTCATGGGGACAAGTATGACCCTCTCGGACGGGCTGCTTCGGTGTTAAGACGAATCAGCCTCCACCTGTTGTATCAATGTTGCGTGTAGATTTAGAGGGCCAAAAACAAATAAACATATGTCAGCTAGTGTTTACTTATAGTTGTCTAACGATCTTCCACCACAGCCCTTGTGTTTCGTACCGACGCCAAAGTAACTACGGCACTAGTTGCCTCTTACGACAAGCATGGGTCTACGACAAGCATGGGTAACTGAAGACCAATTCTAACTTGATCTTCATGGGGACAAGTATTTGTTTCTTCAGATCAGTTCTAACATGGATCTTCATTGGGCACAAGCATCGGCTGTTGAAGATCTGTTCTAACATGGATCTTCATGGGGGGGACAAGCATGGGTTACTGAAGACCAATTCTAACTGGGATCTTCATGTTGGACAATAACATTCTAACAACTGAAGACTTTGCAGGTTTCTTGATCTGTGTGGGGGGACATTAAGATGAAGAGATTTTTCTTGACAAAGATCTTAATAAGACTAACTGGGTTCATGTTATTTTGCACCATCTCTTTCAGAAATCTCTGATCTTCATGGGGGACAACATGGAGTTGTAAGATTCATCAATTCTGGGATCTTCATGGGGACAACATAGGTTGGATAGGTTGTAGGAGACAACCATAGGTTTTAATTCTAACATGGCATGGGGACAACCATAGGTTGTAGACCAATAACTGGGATCTTCATGGGGACAACCATAGGTTGTAGAGGTTGGAATGGGGACATGGGGACAAATGGCCAACTTCATGGAGGGCCTGATGAAAGATCTGATCTTCATGGGGGGACAATCAATTCATGGGCTATCACACTGGGATCTTCATGGGGGACAAGAGTTTGAATGCTAACAAAGCGATGATTGATCTTCATGGGGACAACCATGGCTCTGGGATCTTCATGGGGACAAGCATGGGCGTGTTAATATTGATCTTTATGTATGTATTTATATTTCAATTCAACTGTGAACAAGCATTCTAAAAGGACACAGCCTCAGTCAGTGGCTTTACGGCAGAAATTGGAGGGCCTGTGTAGTCAGGTTACTATGCTCTAAGCGACAGCATTTATGTATGTATTTATATTTCAATTCAACTGTGAAAGGACACAGCCTCAGTCATCAATTGGATGTACTACTCAGGTTACGGACAGCACTTGTTACTCACGGACAACTTGTTATACGATGGGGACTCCATAGCAGAGACGAAGCATGTCTTCAATATTTCATAAGTCATTTCTGCTGAAGGGCTCAAGAAAAGATTTCTGCATGTGGAGTGTGTTGGAAATGGGACACTGATACAGTGAGGTTTGAAGTTGACTTTTTACAGCAAAGGATTACATAAACAAGCAAAGATTATTGGCCGACTTTCTGATGTAGTTGATCCAGTTATCTCCCTTTGCTACCATTTCCCTTGTTGTGTCGCTACCTGTTTGGTTGTGAAATTCTGTCAAGCTGTAGTGGAAAATGTCACGTCTGCAGTATTAGCAAAGGGAGATAATTCTGAGAGAAGACAGTGGTGCTATTTGTGTCACAACTACCCAGAACGTCTGTCAGTTGAAGACTTGGAACAACAGCAACTGCCTTATGAACAAAACACTTTGTATATGTTTTAGAAATGCTGGCCATCTAGCTGAGCAATATTTGATCAACTGCTGAATTTCTTTCAAGCAAAGAACGCCTCCATATTTCTTTCGAATATCTGAGTTTCTCGATAATGGAAAGTTTATTTCCTGGGGATATCAAGTTATATTTTGTGACAATTTGAACAAGAAACACTCATTGAGATGACTTATGAGGGACCAAAGACATGTTATTATTATATTTTATATCTGCCAAATGATAAAATGTCTTAAAAGTTTGAAGGAAGATAGTACATCAGGGTTTTATCAAATCTTTTGCGGAAAGACGCAAAAGTGATTTTGGATTTTAAGTGTGCATTGAGGTTGTTTTTGTATATAAAAAAACAAAATGTAACAAAATGTATGTGTAACAAACTTTACAAAATTTAACTCGATATTTTAAAGAAATATGGTGATCTATAGCTTGAACAGAGATATCCCAAACATAGGCCAGTGTGCAACAGCGAAACTGTTCCCGGGATGGAACATGAATATTCATGAGGCTATTATGCCTTCTGGATCATACCATTTCTGTTTTGGAGGGGTGACTGGTTGTACGGTCCACAGTTAAGCAATTGAAACATTGACTTCTTAGAAGCTGAAGACCGACTGATCTCTCACCAAAATATCAAGTTTTAGATAAAATGGATGAGTCAAAGTGCAAATTCTCAAAAATCCCAAAATTCCATTTCGACCTTTAAGTATGACCCAGCAAGTATATATAGCCAACCTGAATAAATAATGACCCTCTCGATGGGCTGCTTCGGTGTTAAGACGAATCAGCCTTTTACCTTTGTATCAATTTCACGTATAGAGTTAGAGGGCCAAAACCAAATAAACATATGTCAGCTAGTGTTTACTTATAGTTGACTAACAATCTTCCACCACAGCCCTGTTTCGTACCGACGCCAAAGTAACTGTGGCACTCCCATTTTGTATGAAAATGCTTTCATGAATCATGACCCTTGTACATACGTTTCTCATTGTGTATTGACCACTTCAAAAATATTTGACCAAAAACCTGCCTGTAGCTGATTAGACGCTCTGCAGATATCGTTGTTGTCTTCATTTTGGAGTCCATTTTGTTGTCGTTTATCCAGGTATTTGGTAAATGATTATGTTAAGATGCCAAGTGTCGGTTTTCGTATACTTTGTAGTAATGGTCAAAAATGATATGCTGTTTTAGTTGCATTGTACTTTGCAAGGTCAACAAATGATTTTTTTCAAATTTTATACATTTTTTATGGATTCATTTGTCATCATATTTTACCCCTGTATTACTCTATTATTTATGCCGTATGAACAAAGTGAAGAATACCTCAAACTTATATGTTTTTCTCTAGTGTTGATTTAGCATGGCACTGTCTTTGAAAGTTTTATTTTGAATATAATGTACAGACAATAACGTTGAAGAATTTTAGAAAAATGTGAATTGTGTATACATAGCAAGAGACCTGATATGTTTGAAGGCTCTTTGAAAATGTTTTAAAATGACCATTCAGTGTTCTTATGTTTAATTATTCTGTTGCGACAGTCAGCAATGGTCAATTATTTTGGAATGTCTGGCAGTAACAATTTTGAACTGCTTGAGACAACATGAGGCATGTATTTATTTGACATCAGCCATACTATCGCCATCTGATGTTTATGAAGTTTCAACCCTAAAGAATCTGAAATGTTTAAAAGAATGATCAAAATATTTCATCTAAAGTTATTGAATTTAAAAGAAAATTATATCAGAATATGAAGAGAAAATGCATTGAATGTAGTCTCTTACTCTCTATGTTGGGTGGAATCATTTCTTCTCGAGTCTTGACAGGAATTAGATTCGGCAACAATTTAATTTTTTGAAATTGACCCATAACTGACAGTTGTTTCCGTTGCAACAAATTACATATTGTAAAGGTGAGCATGAAATATATGCTGTTCTAATAAAGTACAACTAATTACAATGATCACAGTTGTTTCCATAGCAACAAATTATGTACTGTAACGGTGAACATGAAAAATATGCTATTGAAATAAAGAACAACTGATCGCAATGATCACAGTTGTTTCCATAGCAACAGATTATGGACTGTAAAGGTGAACATGAAATATATACTGTTGTAATAAAGTACAACTAATTACAATGATCACAGTTGTTTCCATAGCAACAAATTATGTACTGTAACGGTGAACATGAAAAATATGCTATTGAAATAAAGAACAACTGATCGCAATGATCACAGTTGTTTCCATAGCAACAGATTATGGACTGTAAAGGTGAACATGAAAATATATACTAATTACAATGATCACAGTTGTTTCCATAGCAACAGATTACGTACTGTAATGGTGAACATGAAAAATATGCTATTGAAATAAAGTACAACTGAACACAATGATCACAGTTGTTTCCATAGCAACAGATTACGTACTGTAATGGTGAACATGAAAAATATGCTATTGAAATAAAGTACAACTGAACACAATGATCACAGGTAATCCATGAGTAATGGATTTATTCCACTGATCGAGGGCACATTAGCATGCTAGAAGCAATAACATTCTTGCCTTATTTGGAAATGGAAACAAGAGTCAACGTAGTGATGATTCCAGTGGTATATTTTCCATATTAGACTCGGCTTAAGCGATCAAAGAGTGTGAATGACAGGGAAAATTACAAATTCAACCGAATTTTAAAGCTCAATAATTATTCATAACTTTTAAGAAAGATTTTTTAGAATGAATCATATATTTTAAGGTTTTGTCATGTTAATGTACTTAAAGTTGTTTTTTTAGAATCTTTTTGTCTCAGGACATTTTACTACAGCGGTAAAATCATACCAAAATATAGAGTGAGCGAGTTAAAATTTAAAGTCACATCGACAGTATTTCAGCCATATTGTGAATATCCAAAATATAAAGCAGATGTTAGGGTTGTCACACACTTAATATTGAGTGTGTTAAGAAACATGTTTTTATATGGCCTTACAATGAAATGTGTGAAATGTTTCCATAAGTCACAAACAAGCATTAGCGAGCCGATGTCCAAAGCAATCTTTATTTTCAGAGTGACCTTGACGCCTTAGCTGCCTCTGCATGTGCATGACCAACCAATAACTTATTACGATACAATTTGTACATGTTTATAAACTTGTATTTTTTATACAAGTTACAAACCATTGCTTATGAGTTGACTTTGTGTACAATGTACTTTTGCTAACTTTTTGTGTGGGCACCATTTCATTGTCGTCATGGTGACTGAGCCTCAGCTCTGAACGCTTGGACTTTTACAAACATTGTCGTTGTACAAAACAACCTTAGCGCTAAGACTGGCCTGAGTCCATGTTAAGGTATGGAGCTTTGGTCACCTTAGCGCTAAGACTGCTATGTACAACGGCACCCAGATCATTAATATACTCTGAAAGGAGACATAAAAAGCATTTCTGAAAAAATAAAATCGTCATGGAAAAAACTTGGGGTCAGGGTATTTTGTTGTAGTATTTTCTTGCACACTTTACTTTTTATATTTTAAATAGTCTTATAAATGATAAATTTAATAATTACAACTCTGATCTTATTGCAGTTTCTTCATACTGTTTTTCCTTTGATAGTTATAATTCAGAATGCATAACATATCTAAATGAAATATAATGACGTTTGGATATATAATTTTTTCGTTTCCACAATTTGTTAAGTTTATGGGAGGGTTTATGTTATTTGGTTTAACTGGTTTAATTCCATAAAAGGATTTCAAAACATGATGAGCCTCCTATAATCTGTTTCTGGTAATGTCTGGATCAGAAGGGAATTACTGTTTATCCATTAATTAATAAATTAAGTTGGAATTTATCCCATTAAAGGTGAAAAAATATAATGTACAAGCTAATAAAATAGACATACATTTCAATTTCCTGTACACAGGTAATAATAGAGTAATTAATTAGAACTTCTGTC